TTTTTTTTCATTTACTGAGATACGCTTAGAGGACTTACTAGGCAGCCCGAAGAGCCATACTCCGGTTGCTGGAGTTTGCTCGCATATGTCAGGTCTTTACTGTTTCCTCAACTCCTCTGTCCAGGGTTTCAGTGTCCTGGAAAGCAAACCTGTGACAGGGAGCCTTTTATCTCGTTACCTTGCGATACCGATACCCTGTGTTCTAAGTGGACCACCAACTGCGTAAAATATGTCTGTGTATGGGAGTGCTCGCCAGATCGTTTTCTGAACTACCTGTCGCATGCGACGAAGTTACTGGGACTAACTATTTATCGTGAGGAGACGGTGGGGGTAGCAGAGTTCCAACATTGTGTCGTTTTTTGTCTTTACAGTGTGTTTCAGCTCTTTTTCTACATATTTTGAAAACAACTGCATTCATAATTTTTTTTTCTCGGAACAAATTCGAACGACTAAGAGGCATGGAAATGTGCAGAATCTGATGACATCATGAAGTTCCGTGATCTTTTATTCGATTGCTAATGTTCACTGAATATTATTAAGATTAACTCATAGATAAAAAAAAGTCTAGGATGATAAAACGTGATGAGTGAACAAAAATGGAGATGTTTACCAGACGTGCCAGTGAGCATGGTTAAGTTTAATAAAAAGCTGCAACTTTTATGATGTCATTAAATGCAACATGTTTTGTCGCCTTTGTCTCATTCAAACTCTTTTTGTGGTTTAGTGGGTACTTTCTGTGATAAAATTGGCTTTAGCCAGACTACCTTCGTTTTCAGGTATCCGTTAGGCGTTCGTTGAATGAGAATGTCTAGCACTGACACTGGGCTAACACTTTCCACCTCCTATGTACTTTCTCTGGAAAAACCAAATTCATGACATGGTTTTCTAGGGTCGATGATGGCAACTATGTCGTGGTATCGGGTCAAATCTGTTGATTTGCTCATCATGCATATGTATACGTTCAGAAACTAAGTCAGTAAGACTGCTGCCGCTTCTCATTGTTTCTACAGTTTTTTGTTTGTTTGTTTTCTCTCCCTGCTTCTTTATGCGTGCATAACTGTCATCCATGGTAAACGTTTTGCGTTCAATTTTTTCCGAATCACTAGCTCGAAAAAGCGTCGACCAAAACCCCGTCCACGGCAAGTTTACGTCAACATCACTACTAGCACTAGCATTATTACTGCTCATCCTATCGCTTCCACAATGTCTACCTTCTCTTCCACACTGCTTATATCGCTACTGCAACCAGCGCTAAGTCGACTTGCTTCACCACCTGTCTATGCCTCGTACTAATAACATCCGTGCCTCTGGTATCATTTATAAGGGGGCAATCAAACTCCGTTGTACGCAGCACTGACATGTTAGCTTACTGAAACGACTTTTGTTTTTGTTTTGTTTTTACTTTTTTTTGTTTGTTTCGAAGCCTCGAGCCAGACTGTTTTGTCCGCGTGCTCTGACCCCCCGAGAGCTTGGCTCCCTGAATCTACGTGAAGACACCTCTACTTGTCTTTTTGTTTGTTTGTTGAGTGTATTGCTCGTTTAACAGCGCCTTGCACTCAGTTGTTGAGAGGGCCTACTCCTAGCGACGTCTTTGTTGTATGCCCCGTCTGAGTCTTCGTCTCCCATCAAGATGCCCCCCCCCCTGTCCCATTCTCCCCACCCTCCCCATTTATGTTCTTTTAGTTGCTCCTACTTTCCTGTCTATGCGTGCGCTCGCCCGCCCGCGCGTGCGCATTGTCATTTATGTTTGATAACCTGCACCTTTTAGTTGTACATTTATTTTGCGCTTGGTTATCCCTCTGTCAACCCAATGCTTATTTTTTGTTTAACTCTCTGCTTCTAACTAAGCCTGCCGTACGTTTTCAGCTTGCTTGATTTCCTCCTAGACTTTGACTTTGAGGAGTGAGTTCCTATGTTCTTTCCTCGGGCTTCGCTACCGTCATTGTGCACGTGCTTATGCCTTTTTCGCGGTTGTCTTCTGCTCCCTTTCTCTCTCCGCGTGTTTATATATATACGTATATGATGTCTTTCTGTTGCTAATCCCGCTCTCCCCAAGTCAAGCCGCCTGCTTCCCTCCTTGCTAGTGTACATACTGGCCCCTTTTGTCCATTCCGCCGGAGGTGTTTACGTGGCTTGCGTGTGGATATTTATCGGAGGCTCGACGTTTTGCGTTTTCCAGTCACCCATTCAGACACGCACTGCCAACGGCCCTCCTATCTTGCCCCCTAGACGTTGCCCTTCGCCAACATGTTTATCTCAGAATTTTCAGCGTACTCATTTTCTTCTGTTTGTTTCGCCCTGACTAGGCCGTATCCAATGACTCAACCGTTCCAAATCGCGTCGGCCACTTCAAAAGGTATGCCTAAGTTGCTTTTGCATTTTTTCCATAATCACCAACTCAGTCATCTACACAGATGTTTTCTCCTCACAAGCACCGGCGACAGCCGTTGTCCTGGAGACACAGTATTGTCTTGCGTTTTGGGGCGGGGGAAACTCATAGGACGTATACCTCACTCTGTCTTCTTACGTTCACAAGGTCACAGCTGTAAGACGTAGCCAAAAGGGCTGGTGATTTGCGTGGACGCGGTGACTGACCTTGCCTACTTCATGTATAGGCATGCCCCGCACAGTTCAGTGATGCGGTTGACCATGTATTTCACATAAATCTCCTTGCGGGACAGGGAATCCGGTGCGCAATCAGGCCAAACAGCTCGCGTCGACGCGGTAACCGATTCCTCGGACTGCAGTCTCGCGACGACAGGCAGTCGCATCAGTGAGAACCAAGTAGGAATAGGTTCTGCCGGCTCGAGAAGTCGTCTTTTGTTCTGTTTGACCTTGTTGCGCGGTTGAGCTCTTGACCATGCGTAATAGTGCCACACCTTGTATCATTGAGCAGTTAGACACGAGTATAAGGACCCCAGGTACTGTGGGTGGCCCTTCTAACCCTGACGACAATCTTATAACCTTCGCACCAAGCCCAACGCCCAACCCTGACCCCTGGAATTTGGCATAAGACCACCATGAAGAGTATTTATAAAAGCGCCTCACTCGACTAGCTCCCCATCCAGTATCTAATACCTCGGCATCTATTGTTCTCTGCAGTGCGCATCCGTAGAGAAACTGGCTCAGGTTCTGCCAGCATCAGCGCTAGAGCACCCGCCACCGGTACAATTCGTGTCGCCGTCAGCGACTTACTGGTTGGTGCTCCAGCCGACAGCACAAAGGCCCTGACCTATACCGTGGGCAAACTGGAGCATTTCACGGAGTATCTCTTTCTCGTCTCAGCCTGCCATGAGCCGCACGACGAACTAGGCAATCCAGTCTTTCCTGTAAGTGGATCTACTTAACCGCATTCCCTTTTATGCTGGGTCTGCTTTTTGAGGACTTCTCTCCGTAGGATAAACCCCAACACTGAGAATTGCTTATATGACCCCCTAAACAGTCCATGATATAAATCATATGAAATGGTTCCGTGCATAACTTTAGGAGGAATAATTATTGCCCTGTCCAAAACCTAAACTTAAACTAAACCTGTTAAAATGTTGTCTAATATTTCCTGTTTTGATACATTTCCTTAACTAGAAGGCGGAAAAACGCTCTCTGAGGCCAGTATTTTATTTGCCCGACGTTTCGAACTCTCACGCTAGCTCATTGTCAAGAAACAAAATAACGTACAACTTACTGTGTATTTAGCTCCTGCACCTCCGTATAGCTCCTTTTATCACTGTTCCTATACTACAGAATTATTAGGTTTTGGAGTTCCGTGGTGTTACTTA